CAGGGACCCAGGGTGGCAGTCTGGGGGATCGAAATCCGAATCTTAGGATTCAAAGCCCTATCCCCTAACCACTAGGCCCCAATATGCCTCTGAAAAAGGAATAAAGTGGAAATTCCTTGCAGAGAGAGCATTTTGATGGGAAGGATTTTGGGAACCATTAGTGCCCTCTGTTAAGGGATGCCTCAAAAGAGTAAAGGGCAGAGCATCTCTAAGTTTTGAAGAGTAAACATCTCTACTGTCAGAAATAGAAGCCACTATAAACTCAAGACCACTCACCTTGTGTATAATGATTTAAAGGAACCCCAACCTTTAACTCCAGTGCATTTTCTGGTTGGAAAGAGACTCAGTTCTTTACCTCCTGAATATTGTTATAATATGGTTAATTCATATTGTTCATAGGTTCAATAAACAGAACAGAATAAATACAATTCAGGTTAAGATTGTACTGGGTTGTTGTATAAGATGGCGTAGGTGCCATATGTCTGTTTTTTTCTGCTTTCTGAACAGCGAAGAAGTAAGTGTTTTTTCTAGAAAATGTAGCTCTATGTATATGTGTTAGTTACCGCAGTTCAGAAGTAAAGCGATATAAAATGAAGTCGAATCTCCAGTCGTTTTTTCCATCAAGATGGGATGTTTTCAGCTAATTCCACAACAGACACCACTGGTTACTGCTTGGCTGTGACTCCATCCTGGAAAAGAATATCAGCTGTGCTGGAGGTGTCTTCTCGTTCAAAGTAATGTTTTCCTGCCTACTGTTGCTACAAGCATGCTTGCTGTGAGGGATTGCTTTCGAGTCAATGAGTCGATGCAATCAAGTGGTTTTCCTTACGTAGAAAATTTTGAACTAATCTGACTTTACGAACTGGTTAAAACGTCTCTGTAAAGTTCCTTGAGATAATGCATAAACTGGTGATGAATAAATGAGCTGAATTGAACTAAATTGAATTGAATTGAGTATTCAAGAGATAAAAATGAGCTGAGCACTAGTAAATGTTTAGCTGCATGTTTGCATTAAATAACTGTCTTTGTCGCTCCATCATGTAAACAGATGTTCCACCAGCAGCAGCCCCCCCACCATCCCTTCCCTGTCCCAGTGAAAATGTTGAGCAATGTTGTGTTCAGGGACGGTCCAGTTGGCATCAATACAAAGTCTGTGGGATTTGCATTACTTTTAAAAATTCAAATTAAACTTATATAAATATAGTTATATTAAAACTTTTTTTTTTTTACATAGTTATTTCTATAAAATAAAAATGGCCTCTAACTGATTTTACCGTTTCCTGGACAGTTTAAGGGAAACCTTAAATCACTTTTCTTTTTTTAAATTCAGATTATAAAAATAAAAATAAGAGTTTTATTGTCATTCCACAATTACATAAATAATTCCATTCATGTTATGCAGCATAAAAAAAAATCCTTTAATAAGTT